TAGCCAGCCTATGGGCTAGGAATTGAACCCATAACCTCCCTGAATATGAAGCACTCGACCACTCAACCGCAACGCGCGGTCTACACGTCTCCAAGTATGTCACGACTGCCTCATTCCGAACTTTTACTTGCTCGCCATTCATGGCAATGTTTTAATTTCATTCCGCGCTACACAACCTCTGCAGTTGAAACAGAGTCGTTAAGTAACCCGCGTCTGGCTCGGACTCAGTGCTCTGAAGCACAGCGAGGCGCGGGGGCGGCAGCCGGCCGTCTAGATGCTTCGCCAACGTCTCCTATTCCGAAGAGACACGGCCATATTACATTCCCCTACGCTGCCATTCAATGCAGATTCATGTCTCGAACGGAAACAGGGGAAGCAGGACGGAGGTGGGCGGGCCATGCACAGACCATAAGAAGATTCCGCTCTTCAGTACTCGCAACTCATCAAACAAAATACGGGTCAACGAATTTATTGTAACATACATACTTAACAGATAAGGGAGCTAAATGCATAGTACTTTATTTATTATAACAAATTATCATTATGATAATTAGAACGAATAACGCTCAGACAGTTAACGTTCAAGAAAAGGACGAATTTATGTAAATAATTATAATTTAGAATAATGAAATAATTAAATCAGGATGACAAGTTTCAGGCATGTATTGCAGTGTGTATGTAAAAAAAGGTAAAGTTGTCCCTGTGCTCAACGAATTAGGCACTGCGCCATGAAGACGTATGGGGGAGTGGATTTATAGATCCAAATTTTCTTGACCTCGGCACTAGCTGGAGGTGAGCGGTCAGCTTCACGCCCTTGCCGCTTTACCCCCGGGGAAAGAGCCCCCGGTACCCATTGGATAGGAGGCTGGGGGGACCCTAGAGCCAGTCTGCACGATTTGTAGAAGTGAAAATTCTTGACATTACCGGCAGTCGAACTGCGACCCCTCAGTCGTCCAGCCCGTAGCCACTCTATATCGACTATGCTACCCCGGCTCCTACAGTGTATGTATGTATGGTTTTTACCATCGACACAACAAATTTACAAAATAATTCGCCCACACTTCTATCGTGTTAATTGTGCGTTTATTTTGGTTAAAATACAATTTCGCTACGTGTTTCGGCTTTAATGAAGCCATCACCAGGTGATATATTGCAGATATATTACAGTACAACAACTTCCCTAAAACCATTCCTAAAATAAACAGCCTGGCGTGAAGACTGTGCCTAAAAATGTACAGACGGATAGTATACGGCACCAGACAACGACTGGAAATTGGAAATACCAGTCATGTCTGGAGTTGAAGTAACCGAATACGAAACTGTAAAAGTTAACAACCTTTAAGGATGAACTATGTGCCTAAGTCTGACAACCGGAATTTACAACTATCTTAAAATTCCTAATTAGGTGTGAAAACTGTGATTGAAGGCTTACGCATAACAACACTGAAAGCGAGACGTCGCTCAGATAGCCGGCGCGGAACACTATTATCAGCGTGGCAAAAGTTTTGTACTCACTTGCATGTAAGATGTGAAGTGTCCGTTTGTCTTCACCTTCGGCCTGGAATGGGCGCCAGGTGACCCCTTCACTTCGCCATAAAGGGTCAGTTCGGACCCCTGCAATCCGGGTGGGCATCCTAGCACCTTTTTGGTGGGGTTAGCTGCAATAAGAGGATACAATGCATTTCACTACAGGCTAAAGCATCACATGTAGAAGAAATGGATATAAGTGAGTCTTAACCCTCTCCAAGCTATCAAAGATATAAATCGCTTTTAAATCTCACACCGTTCTCTGATTAAGAAATGTCGTGGCATTTTAAGCTAACCTGTGCGCTTACTTTATATGGTCCTGGGCTGACAGAGGCCTTGTATACTGTACACAGAAGTAGGAATTAAGATTAAATTTGCAAATATATGTAAATACTGACAATTTTTTTCCTTTAGTGCTACAGCCCTCATTTGGGCCTAGGCCTACCTCCATGAAACTCTCCGTTTCACTTCGGTTTACTAGATCTTAAGACATTCGGTAGGACTCCTTGGGCGGGTGATCAGCTCGTCGCAAGGCCTATACCTCTACACAAACACAGAAAAACGTCCATGCCCTGAGTGGGATTCGAACCCATGATCCCGGCTTCCGAGCAAGCGAAGACAGTGCATGCCTTAGACCGCTCGGCTACCGTTACCGGCCAAATACTGACAATGGTCTTACTAATACAGACTATGACAGACAATTGACAGACCCGACCTCTCGTCAGAGAGGGCGCTCCAAATGGACAGGACAGGGCTCGACACCAAGAAGATTGACCAACCGTAAGTCGCAATGTGACTTTGACTTGACTTTATATGGTGCCTACTAGGAAACTGTAGGCTGAAGACAAATGTGTCATGTCATGAAACAGGATGATAAACTGGAACAAAATCAGTGAAACAGTTCAAGGCGATAGCCTACACGGAAGAGTCAACTTATGGGCTTATGTAAAGTGGGTTTTGTAATGGGTCAATACGGCTAAAAATCAAAATGGGCAACTAATGTTATGCAAAGACCTTTCATATCGATGTCACTAAAATCTGAGTAACCGTTAATTTACAGCATTGCGTAAAGCAGGCTTTGTAATCGGAAAATAACACGGATAAGAATCAAAATGGCCGATTGAAATCATCCAAAGATGTCTCACGCTGAATTTAACAAGAATCTGAATAACAGTTCATGACATAGGCCTCACATGGAAAAAATCATTTATTTATACCTTAAGTAACGTAGTCTCTAAAGCGGCCTCCGTAGTCTAGGGGTAACGTTCCCACCTCGTGACTCAAGGTATGCGGGTTCAAACCCGGCGGAAGTCGTGGAATTTTTAAGGGAGGAAAAATTCAGGGAACAAGTCCTCCGGGAGGGACTTTAAGCCGGGGGTCCCGTGTCGTAGCTTTACGGCACATAAAAGAACCTCATGTCCCAAGGGGACCTCTGAGCGAAATTCAGGACATTTCCCGCCCAACAGTAGTCTCTAGTAGATGAGGGAAGCATCGAGATACCGCTGACCCAGTAGAGGCCGAACTCGCTGGCTGAGTCGGGACTGATGGCACGCACCAGAATAGACTCTGATAGAATATCAGAGGGGGACGCACAATGGACCAATATCTGGTCTAAGTGCATGGGGAAACCCACCCTCTCCAGTAACAACAATAACAACAACAACGTAGTCTCTATAATCGGTTAGTACAACTAAAAATCAAGTAATCTAAAATGATGCACCCGTCTCTTGCACTGAATTTCACCAACATTTGACAAGCGGTTTATGATACATGTAACAAAGTTCATTTAGGACATTATATAAAGCAGGCTTTGGTACAGAACAGTATGGCCGAAAATCGGACTGTCCGACATCCTTTAGTGATAACCTCTAATGTAGAATTAAACAAAATCCAATGGTTTAGGTGCCAGTACTAAGTCACAGAGGAACACTCGTGGTTTCCACATAAGGAGTTTCTTTCTTTCTTTCTTTTTTTGCTCTGAGAAGGAAGTAAGTATAAAAAAACGGGGGAAATGACAAAATGTAGCGGGAACTGATTTCGACTAAACATGATGTAGTAAGAACTAGTTTTCACCAGAAAGAGCAGTATATAGGCACTAGGTCTTGAAACCTGGGTTAGCGTTTTTACCGAAAGCAGCAGTAATTTCTAGTTCTTACTACTAAGAACTGGTAGTCACGGAGTTCGAGGTTTTGCTCTAAAGCACGTGAGGTTCAGCTGGTCCATCTGAAGGGAAGATGCAGAATTAAAAAAAAAACTCAATATACACAAATACACGTATATAATGCGAAAGACGTAATAAAATGTTATTAATTACAAATAATTATTAACACGCAAGAACTTACTTTGGATTCTGAAGCGCAGGTGAAAATACAGTACTAGAATGGGTACTAAACAAATAGGGTAAAACGGTATTAGCTGGATTTAACTGGCTCCGAATAAATCCGGTAAAAAAAGCAAAGCTATTCCTGTAACAGGCCGTGAAGGCCCAGAGGGTTGTGAGACGTCACAGATGGAGGTAAGGTTGTCAGCCTTACGCACCGGCCGCCATTTGCCCCCCAGGAAGATTCCTGGTACTCATTTCTGTTAGAGGCTGAGTCGACCCAAGGCCATAGTGCAGCTGCATTAAGTAAACTGAAAAAATCCACCTCATAGGGACTTGAACCCGCGATGTTCCAGTTTGTAGCATAGTGTTAACCAATTACGCTACCGCGTGCCCCCGAATAAATACGGTCGTGGGTTTTATAGGTCACAGTAATTCGTTTTCGGGTTGCATAAAAGACTAGAATTTCAAGATCAGCTCCCAAGACAGATTTTGTTCCACGGAGTGAGTGAGTTTATTTACAGTTCGTTAAACATTCGCCATAAAAATACACGATAATAGATTAAAGCTGTAGAATTTAACGAGATCTGTATTTTATCACTGGTACCAAATGCTAGTACGACGAGCTTTCTCTATATTTGAGCTCGATGCAATGTATGAGTTACATGCACAGTGTAACCGAAAGGTGCAGATAAATTTTGGGCACGAGTTAGACATATAGAAATTAGAAAAAAAAATTCATCCGTATCAATATGTGGCCGGGAACATTTAATTTGTGGGTTATAGCTGAAAGAGCACACCATAATATTTTTTATTGCTAGTGGGGTGGGACTAAGTCCCTTCTACTGCGGCCACTTCTGGCCTATTGTACCAGCCCCGGATGATAGGTGAGGGTGACAGTGGAGCAATTGGTGGAATGATGATTGGCAGGGGAAACCGATGTATTCGGAGAAAACCTGCCACAGCGCCACTTTGTCCACCACAAATTCCACTTGACCAGACCCGGGATCGAACCCGGGCCGTCGCGATGGGAAGCCAGCGACTAACCGCTAGTAAGTGCTGAAAATGTCCTAAATGAGATTCAATGCACGCCCCAACACGTCCCATCTTGGACCTCCACGTCCGTTCAAAGATGCCGCAGTAGTTTTCTGACAGTCTGACAGGCGTCTTCAAAGCGACGGTGAAGTGCTTCTTCGTTGTCAACAGGAACTGCTTAAACAAGGGTTTCAGGTGTCCCACAGGTAAAAATCCTGAGGAGTAAAACCTGGAGAGCATGGAGGACACGTAGTGAGGCCTTCCTTGACCTATCCATCGGTCATAATAGATATTACTGATAACATCTCGCACAGCAAGTCTAAGACGTGCCAGCACACCATCATGCATCAACCACATTCGTGCTCTAACTCCCGGCGATACATCTTCCAGTAGCGTCGGCAGATCATGTAAGGGGAAATCTCAGTAGGGTTTGGCTGAAGCCAGCGTGGCAAAACATGGGGACCTACCAGTCACAAACAATCCCTGCCTATACATTATTGTTGGTGTCTGTAATGGATTACACCATGAGGATTCTCCTCTCCATATTGGTGCAGGCTGTGAATATTGATGCCCCCTCTACAGAAACGTACCTCATCTGTGAAGAACACTGAGGAAACAAATAAAAGTGCAGCACTTCGTGAACTGAATATCATGCACAACATTTTGAGCGCTCATTATAAATGTACTCTTTCAGACATAATTCACAAATTAAATGTTTCCGGACACATGTTCATATGGACATTTTTCTTGTTTTGGCATTTGGAAATCATGCCCAAAATTTGTCCACACCTTTCAGTTACACACTGTATATGCTTACTGAAACGGCTGGCAACGGAACCAAAATTAAATTCGCCGAACAACTATTACTCTAGACTAACAATACGAAATTACAACAAAACCCGTCAAGCACGCGAAATGTCAATTAATAAAACTCATGGCCCGACAGACGGGACAAATCCCTCTTACATGTAATCACTTGTACATAAACACGGCAGTCCGGCATCACCGAGTGTGGACATATATCAACCTTCTGCAATTGCTAGGCGACCATAATACCTGTCGGTGGTGTAGACAGTTCTAAAAGGACGTATTGAGACGTTCCAAGTTTTGTACCGAGGCGGAAAGCATAGCCGAACTGAAAGACAAACGACTGTACGTGAAACTCAATTACATGTGTGACCTCCCGGTTAATGACGAAGACGCAGTCATAAAACAAACGTTAGTTAATTAACCTGTCGGTCCAAGACCGATGCTGGGTCGCATATTTGCAATGCCAATAAGCCTACTCTTATCCATCAATCTCTTCTTATATTACCAGGACTTCTTCTATTGTGATATAGAGAAAAGTTCTCGTCGGAGCAAAGAGATAGCGGTGCAACGCGATGAAGGTTCGAGGTATAGAACTGATTCCTTGCGTTCTTTGCACTATGCGTCAGCATACTTTATCTCCGAAACTACTCAACGTATTTCGATCAAATTTTATATTTGGGTGCCTATAATAGAATTGTTGAGTAACTAAATTCTGGCTCATACCTGCTCAATGTTAACCCACGCCACAATAATCAGACACGATTAAAAAAAAACATAGGGTCACCTTAAAACAGATGAACAGTATATCTTATGTATGAGGAGGTCGGGTAATGTAGGCCCTGCGAGTAATGTTGACCCTCTTAATATCCTTCAATTTCTTACATGTGTGTTAGCTCTCACAGAGGAGAGGGCTTGGGCCTCGGAGAAAACGCTGAACTACAGTAGTGCGTAACACGGATTCTTGTTCTCCTGTAACGGCATGTTCTAAGGGCATTTAGGCCTATTTGAAATTTTCTTACGTTACAGAAATGGATGAAGGAAATTGGAAAAGGAATGAAGGATGGAAAAATAAAAGGAAAAGGGCAAGAATAGGGGGTGAATGATGGTAAAGAGATATATATATGAAAGGGGTAAAGAAAAGGATGAAGGGACTAGGGATGAAGCTCCTCATCAGGATCCTTTCTAAATAAAAAAGAACACATGTACAACGTCGCGTAGTCAGTTCGCCCTACACGCTCTGCTCTGGTGTGCAGCTTGTATAAAACTGTTTTGCTTTTCAACAATTCTAATTATTCTTACTATATTTTATAGCATAACAGGGTCATCAATGGTTATAGCATAATCTAATATGTTTTCGGCGTTTGCGTGTTTCATTTCAGACAATGAAATTTACGATTTATTTTATTCTATTCATTTCTTTGCTCGTTCGGGAATGTAATCTCCAAATTATAACATTCCGTCAATTGGAAATGGCATTTCGCAACATAAAATTTTGCTTCACGAACTCTTCCGGGAATGTAACTAATCAGAGAGGAGCGGCCTGCCTGTAGTTTGTATAAGAAATTAGGAGATTCCACTGAATTTTCAACGGGTATTGCACTAATACAGGAGAGTATTATTTTTAGTGCTAGTGGGGTGGGACTAAGTCCCTTGTACTACGACCACTTCTGGCCTATTGTAACAGCCCCAGATGATATGTGAGGGTGATTGTGGAGCAATTGGTGGAATGAAGATTGTCAGGGGAAATTGAAGTACTCGGAGAAAACCTGCCGCAACGCCACTTTGTCCACCACAAATCCCACTTGACAGGACCCGAGATCGAACCCGGGCCGCCGCGGTGGGAAGCCAGCGACTAACTGCTTGAGCTATGGCGCGGCCTCAGAAGAGAGTACACTAGTATAATCCTTCAACATCTTCGAATTTCATTTTTCTCACTCTTAGACTGGTGAATGTTGAGCTAAATACAATGACGTTAATTTGTGGTTACGCAGTGTGGACCTCACCGTCGGTGGCGCAGAGGGGACAGGCCTCGTTGCGGAACATGCAGGAGTAGCAGCGCTCGTGGCCGCACGTGTCGATCAGCTTCCTCTTCTTGCCCTTATCGAACGGCATGTTACAGCTGGGACACGTTCCTCCGACCGCCTCACTCTCCAGCAGCTTCCTGATGGCCGCTAGATCTGCAACACACAAGTCGGCATGCTCTTACTTGTAACAGTCCATCCACGTCTGCAACCTCCGAAGAAGAGCAATTTAGTGCTCTTTGGAGCCACAGATGATTTGGGCCAGGGTTTTAGGAATGCCAACTGAACTAATTCCGGACAGGATCCACTGGTATGACGATGATGAACTTTTGATTACATAAGGATGACTTATTCTGACCTTAAGGAATGAAATTCTTATTTCAAGATGTTAATGTTATGTTAAGTCATTTAACGACGTCGATTCAGTCCATAGATTTTACAGACTCTATTGGGGGTATTAGTGTTCATGATAGATTGGAAATGATGTGGAAAGACGCTGCCGAAATTTACTTTAAAATACTGCCCATGCATTTTCGTACAGAGCGTCCCTTGAGCTGAGGACAGCTAACAGCTAGACCATGATTTCCGGCAAACAACAAATATGACTGTGGTAAATTTCTATGTTTCTAACGGTATCCATCAGATCCCACAGATTCAGACATAGGCAAAAAAAAATTTGTATGTAATCTGCATCGGCCTAGGAAAACTAAACGAATCACTGAATAAGGGAGCTGCTATGAACAAAGGTCTGGCGCGGGAGAGGTTAGTAATTGAGGGCAATTTCACCTTCTGAAACCGCAAGGTGGCTGTGATTCACAGCAAAACCATAATAATAATGTATCTGACCATGCACTGGCAAGAAATTAACTTTCACGGCCAAATCACAGAGATATTACAAAATCTTAATCTAAAGGTTGCTAACATTTTCGGACTGCACCTGAACGCCTTTGCTCCCATACGCATGCGCAGTGTAACTGAAAGGTGCGGAAAACTTTGAGAACGAGTTCCATATAAAAATGGAGTTTTACCTGTGCGGACACCTAAAACCCTTTCTGTATGCAGCTTCTGTTGACAACTAGGGGCACTTCACCATCGCGTTGTGGATGCCTCTCAGACTACCCACAACCACCCCGGCATCTTTGGACGGATATGGTGGTCCATGATGAGACGTGTCGAAGCTTGCACAGAATCTCGTGGAGGACATTGTGAGCACTTGTTACAAATGTAGTCTTTCAGCTAAAACTCACGAATTAAATGTTTCCGGACAAAAGCAGATGTTTTTTCTTTATTTTGTTATGTGGAACTCGTGTCCAAAGTTGTCCGCACCTTTCAGTTGTACCCTATATTTTTACGGCACTGAGTCGTCCTTCATAAGGTGAGCTGTTCTCAGCCGGTCATAAAATACACAGTGGTTCATCAGCGTGCTCACGGAAGTCTAGCACTGGAGCCTATCCTAAGCCATTTGTACCCAGTCCACATCCAGTAAGTCGGCTCATGTGTTATCGTGAGTGGCTTGTACACGTGAAGTGCCTGGTTTGAATCTTCTCTGAGATACCGACTATTCTGATATTTTTTTGTGGTTTTCCTAAACAAAATATCTGAATAGTACTTGATATAGCCCACGAAAGCTTCCAATGTATCACTGCTTACTCATTGTCATTCGACACTACCTGTGCTACTGTGCTACCAAGAGGGTCGTTAAATAAACCATAAACCAAACTTCACACTCTTTCAGTCCCAACCTGATGGCCCCAGGTCTCGTTAGTATCCTGCCATCTACGTCTGTCTCAGATTCGGCTTCGTCCCTTCAAGTTTACCGGCCAAAACCCCGTGTGCTTCGTCCCTTCAAGTTTACCGGCCAAAACCCATGCGTGCTTCGTCCATTCAAGTTTACCGGCCAGAACCCCGTGTGCTTCGTCCCTTCAAATTTACCGGCCAAAACCCTGTGTGCTTCGTCCCTTCAAGTTTACCGGCCAAAACCCCGTGTGTTTCGTCCCTTCAAGTTTACCGGCCTAAACCCTGTGTGCTTCTTCCTTTTAAGTTTATCGGCCTAAACCCTGTATGCTTCTTCCCTTCAAGTTTACCGGCCAAAACCCTGTATGCTTCTTCCCTTCAAGTTTACCGGCCAAAACCCTGTGTGCTTCACTTCCATTATGTGTGTTACATTCTCCCTCTTCTCACCCTTGATCCGTCATTATGAGAACACCCAAATTTCAAACATCTGGTTCCCAGATAAACAACACGTCCAATCATTAATCGTAGAGGACGTGCTCTGTACTCGGATTTTCTTTGGTGACATACGTAGGAGACTTACACCGTTAACTTGGTAACGCCAGTATTAATGGTTGTAGCCCAACGAATCGGTCGCCAGGGCCTCGTTTGTAAGGACTGGTTGCATTACGTCGCGTTAGGATTAGCAGTACATGACTAGATTCATCCTACCAAGCACAATCCCAGATTTTGCACTGAGGGAACTAAACCATCGGGTGCCTTACAACAGAGAAATGTTCGCATGTCCAAAGATTTGAACGTGTTGTCTGAGATTCGTTCATGAGAGTTAATATTCCACATTGCCGTTAGCTTTTGGGGCGGGGGGGGGGGGGGGAGAATGAGTCCACTTTGTACGTCGACCATTAACTGGCCTATTGTACCAGATCCGGATAATGTGGCGCAGTCGCTGGAGTAAGAATTGGCAGGGGAAACCGAAGTACTCTGATAAAACCTGCCCTAGTGCCACTTTGTCAACCGCAAATCCCACATGGCCTGACCTGGGCTTGAAACTGGGAAGCAGCGGTGGGAAGCCGGTGTCTTAACGCCTGAGTTATGGCACGGACTTTCACATTGCCGTTAAGCTCCGGAAGAAATCGAACTAAAGCTTCTTCAGATTTCCGCTTACTTTCCTCTCCTTTGCGCCTGGTAAATTCCCACAACAATCTCTTTTAGTGTCATTGCCGCAGTCACTTGGCATACAGAAAACAGCGGCTGCTGTCTCCATAAAAACGAGTGCGCGACCGCTTTCTTACTGTTTTCATGCACCAATCGAGCGCTCCAACGGCAAGGAAGTCCTGATAACTGCAATGTACGGATTATTCATTAAATGGTTACGGATACTAACACTAACAGAATGATATCTGTCTACGACGGAACCTATATTAAACGGAAACCTGTCCTTATCATAAAATTTCTCTGATCTTGTGATGTAAAAAGAAAACCACATATTCCGACTGCCCTGTCAACAGAACGAATATCTGGGCCTAAGGAGGAGGTTGTAACAGGATGGAAACAGTTATACAATCAGCAGCTTCAAAATCTGTACCCTGCACCTAACATTATCTGAATGAGTGATCAAGAAAGACGATATGAGCCGTCCGTAAACGAGAAAGTTTGAAATGCATGCAAGATTCTGGTTGGTAAATGTCAAAGTAAAGTTCGCTTGGGGCCACAGGTGCAGACAGGAGGAAAATAATGGATCTTAAATGACGAGATGTAAGGAAATGGATTAAACTAGCTCAAGAGTCAAATGGCGGACTTTTGCGAGCACAGTAATGAATTATCGAGAGCCATAAAAAAGAAAATTTCTTTACCAGATGAGTACCACTGTATCCTCAAGTAGTAGGCCGCGCCATAGCTCAAGTAGTTAGTTGCTAGCTTCCCACCGCAGCGGCCCGGTTTCGATCCCGGATCTGGTCAAGTGGTATTTGTGGCGGACAGAGTGGCGCTGGGGCAGGTTTTCTCCGAGTACTTCGGTTTCCCCTGCCAATCTTCATTCAACCAATTGCTCCACAATACCCCTCACCTATCATCTGGGGCTGTTACAATAGGCCAGAAGTGGCCGCAGTACAAGAGACTTAGTTCCACCTCACAAACAATAAAAAAATCCTCAAGAAGTATCTTGTGCCGCGGAGTCTGTTGTGAAACGCTACTAAACACAGCAACATTTTAACTACAGTTAATTGCAGACTCTGCGAATTCCCAGCTTTTTATACACTACGGTTTACTGCCATCTTTTATGTTACGGTGAGAATTACTCTCGTGATTAACTGCATTGTTCTCAACAGCTGGTGCCGACTACTTGGGACATATGGAGGACAGTGACCTGGCGACCTCTGTGAAGATGTCTGCACGCCTGTGCAGAGATATGTCTGAAACATTTGTTTGGAGGTGTGTAAACTCAAGTAGTCAGTCAGAAGACAGTGCATGAAATTCTAGTGAAAATGATCGGAGGAGATGTGTAAAACTTTGCTGGACAATGGCAGAGGCGGGGGCGTAGCAACTCAGTGCAAATGGTGAAGGGCGGAGGATAAGACTCGCTGTAACAACGTCCACAGCCTTCCCTTCAATTCCCAGTCTTGCAGCGTAGAGAAGCTTGTTCCGAAAAGGAAGGCAGTCAGTCCATGTTGCATCCAGTGATTGGAATAGCCCGCCGTGTTTACGGCACAGATGCGAAATACTTCAGGGCCAGACTCAGTACTCACCACAATGCATTCGGCCAGTGCGCAGTTAAGTTAGCATAGTAAATATCAGCACTGCACGCCTGTTCGGAAGCTTCTGAGTTCTGGGGCTACATACCACAACAGGGAGGCCGTTACGTTTAACAAGAGGCTGTGCCATTGCACAGGTGGTTATTCGCTGATTTCCCACCTCGGCGGCCCGCGTTCGAGCCCGGGTCTGGTCATGTGGGATTTGTGGTGGACAAAGTGGCGTTGGGGCAGGTTTTCTCCGAGTACTTTGGTTTCCCCTACCAATCTTCATTCTACCAATTGCTCCACAATCATCCGGGGCTGGTACAATAGGTAAGTAGTGCCCCATTACCAAGTGGACTCAGTCTCGCCCAATTACGTTTAACGTGTAGAACTTGTTCAAGGGCTGGAGAGGAACAAAATGTAAATTAGTGAATTAGGAATTAGTGAACTTGTAATGGATCTTACTAATGTCTTGTGGAAAATAAGTAATTACATTACGGTCCAGCATGAAGGAATCTAAATTGGTGTCCTACAGAATTTTCTGGCAAGGCTTCCGGTCGAAGATCTTTTCGAAAGAGATCCATCCGACCCCCGAGAAAAGTAACCCTCGACCACTTACACGTATAAAGGTTATGCTCCCTAAACAACAAGGTTCAGAAGCAAACGACGTCTTCAACAAAGGTGGGAAACAGG